CCCCTTCTCCCAAAACAGCTTATACTACTGTTTCAGCTATTAAAATAGTTCAGTTTTGTATGTAATAGCAAAGTAATTATATTTCGTTTAGTTTTTTTATTAAGTTAATTTAAAAAAACGTTTGGAGCATTTTTTGTTCGTTAAATATAAAACTTAAAAATAAGTTTTTGTTTTTTTTAAAGTAACGACCAAGCAGCCTGCGGCAGACAGAGAGCCTATGTTTGATCAATTTAGCCCAGTGATGGGCAAACTTGGCCCTTCCAGGCCACTTTCCTGCAGAGATTTGATCCAACCCTGATAAAACTCACCTGCCTGTAGCCTTCTAGTAGTCTTGTAGACAAAGATTAGCTGGTTCAGGTGTGTTTGATTAGGGTTGGAGCTAAACTCTGAAGGAAAGTGGCCTGGAAGGCAACCCTGATAAAACTCACCTGCCTGTAGCCTTCTAGTAGTCTCGAAGACAATGATTAGCTGGTTCAGTTGTGTTTGATTAGGGTTGGAGCTAAACTCTGAAGGAAAGTTAAAATAAATCACATGTTTATTTTTATCTGTGTGGCAGCAGCAATATACAGTAAATAAATAAATAAATCCACTGCTCTCTTGTCTCCTCTGAGGCTGGGACTCTAAATAGTGTTCTGTGCTCGTCTATGCAGCCAAAGACAGAACAGTTAGCATGTTTTGCTCAAACTTTTGCCTTGGCATTAGAGCTGTTACACCGTTGTCACTTGCGAAATCAAAATGATGGCGCTGTGGGTGGAAACTTACAGATTAAGGGGCGGTAATATTCTAATGAACATGCAGAAAAAGGCTTACCAAAACAAAGTTACTGAGTTCATCTTTTTCACCTTTCCTTGGTTGGTAGATGCACCGGGGACCTGATTATAGCACTTAAACCCTGGAAAATCAGATTTTCATGATATCTCACCTTTAAAGATAATTTATAAAATAAATTATTAACATTAATAATATATGCATTATTTTATTGTTTAACTATTAATTGTTTATCACGTCACAAACATCATATAAATATACAAAGTTTGATCCAGAAACTGTGAAAATCTAATTTATATCACCGCTATTTTTTCAAGGGTGTTGTTTTCTTGCATCATCTGAAGAACAGATAATAAAGATAAATATGTTTACTCTTATACATGCTAGAACAATTACATAAACGTTTCACTGGCTTTGTTTGCACGTAGCTTCTTCAACCAGTTATTTTCACATATGACCACTTAACGGAAAAACATCATTAAATGTGCAGAAAATCAGTATGTGTGAAAGTTCTTAGTGGTTCAGTATAAGAACAATACTTCACACAGTATCATTACTTACTGTGAGGCTCATATTAGAAATAATGAAAGCAAGCACCAGTGAGCTGGTTAAGCCTGTGGTAATGGCAGCTGTGTAGATAAAAAGGCAGCACACGCTTTTTTAGCTTCCTCTTTGAGAGGATTAACCTTTACCCAGCTGTTTGTTAAAGTGACTCCTCAGCCAAACACACCTGAGAAAGAACCACCACATGGTTCCTCTGTGTGCTCTGGTCCACACCCAGCGTCTCTGAGCTCCAGGTGTGCGGTTCAGATGTGGATAAATACTGAGGCAGAGAGGAGCTTAGAGTACTTCTGTAGTGCAAGTGCACTCTGTCTACTGTCTGTTAGGGGGTGTGAATATATGGAGTATTTAAAGAGTATTTACATGCTTTTACTCCATTATCACAACTGCTGCAGAGCCTCTACATCGTCAAGTGAGCATGAGGGGCTGACAGAGTGCTTCTTCTGAGTGAGGTATTGTCATGTGCAGACTGTTATTCACCTCTCAGATCTTACAATGAATGCACCGCAAGGGTGTTTTTAACTCTTCGAAATGTTCCTGTTGCAGATTTAAATAGGTCATGTCATGAAAAACATGTTTTTATTTGCTCTTTTGAAATAAGATAATTCGGTGTACTATGTAGGTATACTCCAATATTCACAAAAAGGCTCCAAAGTTCAATCAGGCCATTTATGGAAAACAAGCTGCAGAAATGGATCATTTTAGAAAATAGCATGGTCATGACATCAAAACAATGAACTCATTTACACATGACGTTAGGACTGCATGATTTGCAGAAAAAAATCGAATTGCATTTGTTTCTAATAAAAATGTAGTCAATCTAAAATGAAATAAAAAAAAATCTCCAAGTTTGCTTGTTTCTAAGTATGTCATTACATATCAAAACAACCATAAAATAATACTACTATTTATACATTCTTATTCTTAGTATTATATCATTTATTTAACAGTACAATCTCATTTTCAAATCCTAAACCATCAAGCTTTTATTTTGGCCAAAAACCGTATAAGATGCACATTTATGTATCTGTTCAATATTTGACCAGCCTGTCTGGATGACTGACAGTGTAAACTACAACAATATGGTAGGCTAGCCAATCGTAACAGAGGGCATTTACATAAAGGGGCACTTCTGGCACGTCTTCCTAAGACTGTGAGTCATCATAGTCTAGTGGTAATTTTTATAATGAACCAAGCAAAAATGCAATTCAACTCGACTGTCGATAAATTGTCCCTCATTTATGGAAAACGAGCAGAATTGACTTTTTGATAACACTGTTTGAGTGTCATGGGAAAAACCCAACCCCAAATAAAAATAAGAATTATTATTTATAATAAAAACCTGAATGAAGTCTTCATTGTAATAATTACTGAAACATCTTCAGACTAAATTTTATACTTTTGAATTATGAACTGAAGCAAGAACATACATTATTAATGCCTTTATTGTCGCTATTCCAGAAGATTAAGAATGTTAAAAGTCCTGCATCTGTTCAGCATTGGACAACACAAGGCTAAACTGCACCTTATCTATGCGTCTGACAGCATAGTTTCTGAATCAGAGGATGCTCTCTGCAGTCCTTCAGAGAAAGGCGGTGACCCTGTCACAGATTCCCTGGTTTGGCAGTTATTTTCACAAAAGTCTGACATTTAAATGAATGTAACAAATATACCTCACTGAATGATAAAACTCTCCTGTTGTGTTGTGTTGACAAATTAATAATTTGTAAAATTTTGGATGGATTCCCAAAACCAGCTGAACACAAAAACTCCTTGGTTCTGCACAAATCACACTTAGGCTAAATTATAAATGATATAATTTGGCTTCAAAACACGAAATTCACCAAAAGGAGACAACTTTTGGGAACTACTAATTTTGTACCTAAAATAATAATAATAATAATGATTTTTTTTTTTTTTTTTGGGTCATGGGGGCACGTGCCTCTGGTTTTTGGTACATTAAAACTTGATTAAGCTTGATTAAGTGAACTTCAGAGAAAAATAAAAGGCATCAAAAAAAGTGTAAAACAGAGCTTCTTAAAATATAAAAGTTTAAGCAATCATAGTTTTTTACAAAGCACTGACATCTCTGCGCTGCAACAAAAAAACATCAATACATAACCCTAACTTCATTTACAAATGAAGATCCTACACAAACCAAGAAATGCTTGAATTGTCTGAACATTAAGTGAAGCCCTCAGGTCTATAGCATATAGATTCTCTTGCAACCTGCCCCATTAACTCTGATTTATAGTATCATCATCACCATAACAGCTTCAGAGCCCCTGTTCCACTCATTCTTATGCAGGTAGCATCATGTGTCCTGTTTTCTCTGACTGTCTATCTGCTGCTTTTCAATGTAGTTTACACGCTCAGACCCAGCAGTATCAAGTAAACATACATCCTTCTTCTTATGCATCACTCTCTCTCTCTCTCTGAGCCTCTCAAGTCCTGCTCGCTCTTCTCTTCTGAGCAGTAGTCATGCTACTAACTTAAATTTTTTTGTTGTTTCCAGCAACATTTAAAAAACGTTTACCATTGTATAATAATATGAAAAAATGCTATATAACTGTTTTCAGTACATTGTATTACTCAATAATGAATCAGTCTCTCCTGTATGTTGCATTTAAGAAGCTTCAATTAATATATAATATACACACATACATACAGACACACTGCTGTTCAAACATTTGGGGTTATTCTTTTTGAAAGAAGCCTTGTGTGCTCACCAAGGCTGCCATTATATGATCAAAAATACAGTATAAAACAGTAATATTTTAAAATATTATTAGAATTTAAAACAACAATAAACAATAAAGTTTTCAATTTTATTATGTTATAAAATGTAATTTATTACTGTGATGGCAAAGCTGAATTTTTAGTCTTCAGTGTCACATGATCATTCAGAAATCATTACGATATTCTGATTTGGTGCTCAAAAAACATTTCTTATTATTATCAATGTTGAAATTTTGAATATGTTGAATGCATTTTTTTTTAGGATTCTTTAAAAGAAAGTTTCAAGCACTGAACAATAGACACTGAACACTGAACAAGCACTGAAATATAAATATTTTTGTAACATTGTAGATGTCTTTACTGCCACTTTTGATTAATATAATGAGTCCTTGCAAAATATAAAATAATTATTTAATAAAAAAAAAAAAATCATACTAATCCTACACTTTTGAATGGTCATGTATATAAAATAATGCATACACAGTCCAAGTTTAAACTGGGAATCTGTGATCTTCCGTCTGGTACAGTTGGATACAAGTGTCAAGTAAAAAGCCTACAACTAACCAACCAACAGAAACCCACAGGAACTCTGTAAGCCACATCATTTTATCACTGTTATGTAAATGTTAATTTAGTAGCTTAGTGCTGCTAAGCAAGCTACTAAGCAAGGATAGTTCGACTATAGTTTAACCACTTTAAATAAAAACCTTGTATCTTATCTTTTAATTTCAAGGTAAATTCCCCAATACGGGATCTGAGGCATGAATCACATACATGCGCTGAAG